ATGGGGAGTACAAAAGTTGATATCAAAATTTGGAATGGCAAATGAGATTTTAATTTCCGGAGTCAAAAAATGAAGGCTCTTATAATGCATAATAGATGTGCTAAAGCCCTTTATGAATATTAGGGTGAAAAAGTTGCTAACAATAAAAGAATTGAACAATGTGAAATTGCATGGAGCACTATTTTCTTACATTTATTTGACAGTTTTATTAGAGAAATAGGGAAGACTGAGATTGTAGCTCAAATTTGGACAAAGTTTGAATCCCTTTATAAAACTAAGACTCTTCCCAATAAATGTTACTTAAGGAAACAATTTTTTAGTTTCAAGTTTGATCACAATTGTCATCTTGAAACAAATCTTGATATATTTAATAAACCACCCCAAGATCTCACCAACAGTGGTGAGATCCTTTATGATGATCAACAATTTGTAGCTTTATTATCATCATTACCTGAAAAATGTAAGGAATTAAAAAGTACACTTGAATATGGAAGAACTTCTATTACTATTGATGTTATTGTTTCTTCTCTAAGGAATAAAAAACTTGAATTTAAAAGTGATTTGAATACATCCACAAATTGAGTAGGTTACAATGTTAAAGGAAATAATTTTTTTCAGAGAAACAATAACTATTCTTTAAACAAAAGTTTTGGAAAATCAGAACATGTAAAAAATTGCAAAATATTCAAATTTTAATTCACTACACATTGCATAAACTGAAATACAATTTACAGCAAACTCATTTCGGGTAAAATCTCACATATTTACCCTACGATGAAGATATTGCAATTTATAGTAAATACTATACATAGCAAATCTACTCTTGTAGCGTGCTAAATTCCATTAAGTTAAATATTATTAAATCAACCCAACATTCCACATAATTTTGATAATTGTAAAAAGAACACTCATAAAATGGAATTAAAAATCCTTTTTTAAAAAAATAAAATTTGATAAAAATTAATAAAATATATAATTAAAAATTGTGTATTCATAAAATAAGTAATTAAAGTTAATTGTTAATTTTTACTAAATTTAGGACTTCCAATCAATTTTTTTATGCGAATTACAATTCTATATATTTATGAATTTATTTGAATTTAACGAAAACATTTCAAGGTCCAGAATCCAGTAGTAGAACGAAAGTGGTAATTGAGTCAAATAACATATTTCATAATAAATTTTATTATTTTAGCCTTTGACCAGAGTAATATTTTTAAAATAAACATTTTAAATCATAATTTAGTAGACTATAGAGTATAGACTTCTTGAACAATAAGTTTTGATATAGGCTATTTTACAAAAAAATTATGGTTGACTAGGCTTTTTAAGCAAATTACGAGAATAAATTGGAGCGGGGTCCACCGACCCGAATGCAGATAAATTCACTAACTCGTTCTCACTGTGTTTCCGTTCATTCATCTCTCTTTCCCTTTTTCTATCTTTATTGCCACAATTTTGTCCAAATGGTGGCTGTCTTCATCTCAGCAGCCCACTCTCCGTCAGCAAACCCTATCTCTCTATATGATTATATATGTACGTGTATGGGTATGCATCTCAGGATATTTTTGTATATTATTTTTAACTTTAGGTTTTGATTGATTCTTAGGGTTCCGATTGTTTACAGAAGACTCTACGCCGTTCAAGAAATAAACGACGTTGTATGGCAATCCACGGAGAAAGATCGGGGAGTCGTTCAATGTATTTCTAGGTTTTGAATCTGGGAGAAGGAGAGAGCTTTGTCAAAATACTTGAGGAAATTGGGGGTTTTATTTCCCGATTTTGTTTTTGTTGTAATTTCGGCATATGTAGCCCCCTCTCGAATTGAATAAAAAATAAGAGCGAATCCCTTTTTTTTTCCAGTTTATTGAATTATTAATCATTGTTTTTTTGTTTATCAAGAGTTCATTTTTATTTTTTAATGAAATAAAGACTAGAGCTATCTTTTGTTTATTCATTTTTTACTTTTTCTTGGAATCTTGGTGAAAAAATATATATTGACCTGTTGAGAAGAGGATACTTTATGGGTAGTCCTGGATTGAGTAATTCGGCTATTGCTACTCGCGTTGGATTATCTGAGCCAATTTCAACTGGCGGGCCCACTGAACTCGATGTGATTAAGACCCGGGAGTTGGAAAAGGTTGGTTCTTCATACATTTGGTGACAAGCTTTATGCAAATTCTGTTGAACTTTTGTATGAAAAGTCGAGGTAGGTTTTGTGTGGAGAAAAAAATTAGGGTATATCACAATTAGCTCGCAGAAGGTAGAACAGGGATTTTGTTATCATATGCTTGTTTACATGGGATCTCAGTTTCAAATTGAAGTTGGAAAAATGGCCTTCAAAAATAGGACTTTAATTTGGGCTTGGTATTCAAAAAATAAAAAATTCCTCAATTAAAATTTTGAAATAGGAATTAGATGACAGCAACTGTGCACTTTAGTGGTACCATCTATAAGAGATAGGGGAATGGCAAGTTTTTTCCAAGAGTAGAATGAACAGTTGCCGTTTAGGAACTTTATATAATGAATGACAACTGGACCATTCACATACGTTGAATCCAGTTCCATAGAATAAATTACTACAGTTTATTGAAGATTAGTTCTAGTTGTATGCTTATGTTTTATTTTATTTTTTTATTATTATTATTTTTTTTTGTTACATTTCAAAAGCTATATAAGTCTAAGCATTTGGGTTCTGACTTCATATAGAGCAACAATGGTCTTGTTTTGGTGTACCATGGAAGGCAAGCAAAGAAAAGTCGTAGACTTGTTCTTCAATATTTTGTTGAGAATTGGCAAAAGGCCAGTTTCTTCTATCAAATTTTTCCCTTTTAAAGAAATAAATGCTAGTCTTTTTCACGTGGTTCAAAAGTTCAATCACATTCATTTGAGCTAAGCTGTGGGATTTGAAGAAAACTTTATTTTTTTGTTTCTCAACCTACCAAACTTCTGAATTAACTAGGAATAATTTATAATCAAGTAGTAGTGTTTGGTAATTGCTATCTCACTCACTTGTGATTGGGTTTTCAGTTCCTTGAGGACGCGGGACTGTATGAAAGTCAAGAAGAATCTATCAGAAGGGAGGAAGTGCTTGGGAGATTGGACCAGGTCACATCTTGTATTTTCAAACTTTGGAATTTCCTTTTTAAAGCAATTGATTTATGCAGTATTAATTCTGAATAATTAACAGATTGTGAAGAAATGGGTGAAGAATATTAGCCGTGCTAGAGGTTTTAATGAGCAGCTAGTCCAAGAGGCAAATGCAAAGATTTTCACTTTTGGTTCATATCGTCTCGGTGTATGAATTCATCCAATTTTACTTAATGGTTTTTTTTTTCCTAATATTTCTGTTACTTGTATGGGTCTTCATTCCTTCATAATATGGCCTTTGCATTATGTGGATAGTCAAGTGGCACATGAATTCTTTATCTAAATCCTTGATACTGTTACTTCATCTTTTAAGATTATTTAATAGTCTGTACCTTTCCTATATAGGTTTTGTGTAATTCATAAGAAGTTTAACAGGAAATTACTGCCCTTAATTTTCCAATACCGCTGCATTTTTTATATCATGATTAACATTCAATCAGGTACAAAGGTGTTTTACCTATGTAAGACGAGGTGTAAACCTCGAGGCATGAACCTCAATTGAATATGAAAAAGTAATTCAAAAGAATATAGAATTACAAAATTATGCTTATAACATATAAATTTCCAATAAACCATAAAAAGCTTTAGGGTGTGTTTGATAGCCTAGAAAATTAGGTGGAAAAAGAAAATGTTTTCCAACTTCACCCAATTAATGGTGTTTGATTGCAAAAGTTTTCTTGGCTTTTGTTTTTCCTACCTTTTCTAGGTACAACTATTTTATGCACATTTTATTGAATTTGTTTTCCCACCTATTAGGTGAGAAAGCAATTTTCATCTTTTTTTTTTTTTTTCTTTTTTTTAGAGTAATGTCAACAAATTCTATCAACTATTGCAAAAAGAATTTTCACTTTTGTTGACAATTTTTATGTAAAACAAAGTCAAACGAATATGATAATTTTTTCTAATTGTTTAAATTTTGTTTTTTTTACTTTTTGGTAATTGGAACAAATTCTAGACGCAATGGTAGAAAAAATTATCACTTTAATGGACTATTTCCATAAAAAATGAAGTCAAACGGATACCAAACTTTCAACATTTTTCAGGTGAAAAATTATACCAATCAAACACAATTAATTACAATTCCCAATAAAACAATTTCTAAACAATTCAATTCCCAATAAAACATTTTCTTTCCACCTTTGCAATCAAACGGACCCTTAATATATCTTCAATTTAAATCTAAAAGTCTAACTTGCAAAAAAAAATATAATATCTCAATAAAGTAGCAAATGATAAGTTCTGAAATTAGTAATCCCGTATTGAAAATTTAATCTACACTTACCAGTGGAATTAGAAACACCGAAAAGTCTATATCATCACTGCTAGTAGGATATATAAGAAAATCATAAACATATTCAATTACATTATCATTCTCATCATCCTCGACTTGCAACGGTGTCTTCTCGTTCTCATTTTCCTTCCATGTATAGGCAGACAGTTTAATTAACAAAAGATACCTGAGAAACACTGTAAATTATAAAAAATAGCCCAAAATGTTAATGTTGGTAATAAATTTCCCTTGAGAGGCAAGAAAAATGGGCGAACACTTTAGTTGGCTTCAGGTTTGTAAAACACCATTAATTATAAAAAATGGCTCAAAATGTTAATGTTGGTAATGTCGAACACCTTAGTTGGCTTCAGGTTTATCCTTGAGATGCAAGCCTCAAAAATGGCACTCAAGTTGCTTTGAGGCTTTCAATGAAAGCCTTACATGAGGTAGGATTCCTTGCGCTGAATGAAAGCCTTGCTCGAGGTAGGATTCGAGGTGTTGAATGAAAGCCTTAAGTGAGATGGGATTCGGGGTTTAATCCTCAAAAGGTTTTTTTTCCAACAATGATCACAGTCTATTTGGATATGATCATGATATTCCTCCATGGATGACTGATTAGAGTTAGTTCATATTTATTTTTAGATGCCTGATGGATTCTTATATGTACGTTTATGTTTAATTAGGACATCTGGATGTTGAGTAGCCAGCTTTTTTCTTCATTTCGTTTCAGCAATTTATTGTGGAAAGCTTGCCGAATTTGATATTAACATTTTCATTCTCTGTTTACATGTTATTTGGGTCAAGCAATCATTTATTGCATGTCTGTGCCCTTTTCTTAATATGCAAATCATGCTGCATCTTTGTTGGGCTCTAATGCCTCTCCGTAGACCCATATAGTTAGACATCAGAAAATGTGATATTAGATATGAAAAAGACTAGAAAATTATTGTATTGGATTTTTTTTTTTCAACAATACCAGAGAAGTATATGAAGTGCAAGGGTAATGGAAGGGGAGATTTGAATTAGTTAGGTATTATCTAACATGTGGACACCTGAACATTTGATTAGTTATGGAGTCGGGAATTTTCATGAGTGTTAATTGAACATCTTATTTGAGCAATTCTGTTTAGGAGTTTCTCAAAAGATTAGTTGAATTTAAAAAATTGTTAAAAAGATTGTAGAAACTCTTGGCTATAAATTGTAGCTCTATCAAATTGCAAATTAAATTATGAGGAAAAAATGTCATTAATGATTAAAAAAAAAACTGTGAATTGGCTATGTCCTATTACTAATTTCACGACCATGACGATGTAAGTTTGAGATAAATTATCATTGGCCGGAGGGTTCCTTGTAGTCTTTAAATCTGAAATACCATGAAGGTAGAAGAATTTATCATCAACAAACATTCAAGAAATGACATTTTTTCAATCACAGATTATTTCACTCTTCATTTACCTTTTTTTTTTATCGACTTTATTTGTGTTCAGATAATTGGTGAAATGGGCTGTGATTAGGTAGAATAGGTAGGAAAAATAAAACTGGGCACTTTTTTCTTGAACATGTTCAAAAGATTTTTCCTGGAACCCGAACTTAGAAGATTTTGCCCTTAAATTTGCTCTTGTAGTAGACTCAGATGACTGTTGCTTTCTTCAAGTCATATGATTAATTGGTATAGTACATATAGTTTAAGATGGCGTTGAGTCCATTTAAAAGCTGTTTTTATTTTCATGGTTTGATAGTTCGATATTCTTCTGGTAACCTCCTCAAAACCTGGTGTTTAGCATGATACTAAACTAAACTAAAATATGTTTTCCACTTTATTTACAGTTATGTCATGTAGTCGTATGATCGAAATCAAGTATTCAACGTGTTTGGTAATTGGTCAGCGTGAAATGGCAGCATACCAGGACTTGTTTAATTCACTTGAAGGAAAATAATCGTTCCTTTTAACATGATGGTCAATGGAGATGACTAGACATTGGTCTTCTGTACATATGAAATGGAATAAATATAGAGTATAGGAAGGAAATTTTAGAACGAAAACTATTTTGGGTTACAAATTTTGTCTTCATTTCTGGTTTTTTATCTTTTTTTCAAAGGTTGCTGATCTGCTGTTTTTGGAGAAGATTTTCTTTAGACATGGTTGAGGACTCTTATCTTTGGTTGAATTTTTATTTTTAATAGGTACATGGTCCTGGTGCAGATATTGATACCTTGTGCGTTGGACCAAAACATGCTAGTCGGAATGTAGGTTCACTTGTCTTTTATATCTTAGGAACTTTACCTTTTGAATGCAATGCTTGATGAGTTGAAGAAGTAACTTTGTGTATATCATATACAGGAAGATTTTTTCGGTGAACTTCACAGAATGCTGGCAGAGATGCCTGAAGTACAAGAGCTACATCCTGTGCCTGATGCTCATGTTCCGGTGATGAGGTTCAAGTTCAGTGGTGTTTCTATAGATCTTCTTTATGCGAATGTGGCTCTCTGGGTCATTCCTGAAGTATGAATCTCGTCTTGTGAATTTCTTTTTCAATTTCAACTTTGCATGTTGGTGCCTCTCACTTCTAATTATACGATGTGTTTAACTCACTTCTTATTGGCAGATGTAGCTATGATTTAACAATGTTGCTTATAGTTTGATTAGTTTGTTGGGTTTTAGTCAGGTCTTTTTTGTTAGTTTGTGATACAGTTTTGACGAAGATTAATTGATGTGCATATATGTGTTCTAGAGGACTACTGAAATTTTTCTGGGGTCCTTTGTATTGTTTTTTGCTGAAACCATCTGTATTTCCGCCGTTATTTGGTGCATTTTCTAGGTATATTATCCTTCCACTCTCTATAATCTATGTTCATCACGTTATTGGGGTTATTGGGGCACATCTTATACATACCCTTGTGCCTCTATATGCAACGTTTTTGGCATTAGTGATATTTTTCATGATTCTGTGGATACTGGAATCAAGTATTCATTTTTTTCCTTCATTTTTATTTTTTTTAACATTTCCAGGACTTGGATGTTTCACAAGAATCTATACTGCAAAATGTGGACGAGCAAACTGTTCGCAGCCTCAATGGATGCAGAGTGACTGATCAAATTTTGCGTTTGGTACCAAATATCAAGGTTGTAAATGATACAATTATGTATCGATGCATCTGTTTAAAAACATGATGCTAACTGTCTAGCTGTTCTGTTCTCTTGCAGACATTTCGGATTACTCTGAGATGTATGAGATTATGGGCAAAGCGTCGTGGAATTTATTCAAACGTGAGGGAGATTAACACTCCTTACATTTCGATTGTGAATATATGCAAATTTTGATGGAATGAAATCTTCTCTTTCGGACACTGAATTTTCTTTTTGTGGCCAGGTTACTGGTTTCCTTGGTGGTATTAATTGGGCATTGCTTGTTGCGCGCATTTGCCAGCTATACCCAAATGCTCTACCTAGCATGCTGGTTTCTCGGTTTTTTAGGGTCTATAATTTGTGGCGCTGGCCAAATCCTGTGATGTTATGTCCAATTCAAGAAGGATCTTTGGGGCTCCCTTTTTGGGATCCTAGAAGAAATTACAAGGACCGTTTGCACTTGATGCCCATAATAACTCCTGCTTATCCTTGCATGAACTCTAGCTACAATGTGTCAACAAGTACATTACGTGTCATGATGGAAGAATTCCGAAGGGGAAAGGAAATTTGTGAGGTACTTTATTTATAAATCATTGTATCTTGGTAAATTTGAAGCTGGCTTTTGTGGAATGCTTCAATTTCTACACTTTTGCAAAGTTGATGTTTGGTTTTTCTCTAGCTTTAACAAGAGTCAGGCTAGTTTAAGTATTGGTGTGCTTTCTTACTAATATTCAGGTTTGGCTTTGCCTCATTTTGTGAATTTGTGCTTCCCTTTATATGGTTCAGTTTTTTATATGAATAGCTATATCTTGTTCTCCTCCTCTCTTGCCCCTAAACCCAAAAGGAACCCAATCAGGCTTGGGTGCATATGCAATATATTACTGGGTACGAAAATGTGCAAGTCAATGTTTTTTTTTTCAACTTGCATGCCCGAAGAGTTTGAAAAGGTAGTTGATTTGGATCGGAATAAAAATGTAATATTAGTAACATGAGAGGCTTGCTTTCTGAATTCATTGCTGGCTCCATGTAATTATGACCACCCATATGTGTTCTAATCTGGAGGTTGGCCCTCTAGCAATTGGTAACCTTTTTGCTTTCTCCAGTTTAAACAATTTTTGAGGTAATCCTAGGTCTCTAAGCATGAGATCTCAGTTGCAATTTCCTGCCTCATTGTTTCCAATGCTAAGTATCCGTGTGGGTAACATGAGTTGAATTGCGAGAGATGATCCTGATCTCACTGTTTTCTAAACTGCCTGTTAAATTTTTATATTTCTTTTGTGGATTGCTATTCTGGTTCCCTTGTTTTTGAGTTTCTCTTATGAGAAGGATTCACTCCTCACTGATGTGATCTCAGGGTTTCTGCATGTTTTTTTTGTAAATTGTAGGTGATAGAAGCAAGCAAGAGTAACTGGGATAGTCTTTTTGAGCCTTTTGCTTTCTTTGAAGCATACAAAAATTATCTGCAGATGGACATAGCATCAGAGACTGAAGAAGACTCGAGGAATTGGAAAGGCTGGGTTGAATCCAGAATACGTCTGCTTACTTTGAAGGTAACCAAAAATTCTTTCATTGAGCTGTTGATTTCAGCCTAAGTTGTTATTTTTAACATTTTATAATTTCATTTCCTCAATAAATAAAACCAGATTGAAAGGGACACAAGTGGTGTACTTCAGTGCCATCCTCACCCTGGTGAATTTTCAGAAAATTCTAAACCCTTTCACTATAGTTATTTTATGGGGTTACGGAAGAAACAAGGCACTAATCCTCGAGAAAATTTACAATTTGATATAAGGTTGACAGTTGAGGATTTTAAACGTGATGTGTATGCATATTCATTCTGGAAACGCACAATGTGGATTCATATATCTCATGTGAAAAAAAAAGACATACCTAACTTCGTCTTCCCTGGTGGAGTCCGGCCTTTACATTCCACCAAAAGTACCACAGAGACACGTTCGGTCCCAAAATCACGTGAGTCTAACTCTCCACAGGCTGTTACGAGCAGAAAGAAGAGAAAGCAAGATGAAATGAATAGAGGGGTTAGCTTGACAGATTCCTCGAGCGCTGCTGTGTCTGGCAGCGATGCAGGTTTGGTGGATGAAACAACAGCAAAGAGACAATTTGAAGCTGATGTTGTTGACACCTTAAGTAATGTGAGACGCCCTGAGAATCTTTCTGGGCATGATCCAGAAGTTGCTGGAATTGTTAAAAGCACTTCACCAGCCAGGCCGTCATCTGCTGCTTGTGGTTCATCATTAGGTATAACAACAATGGAGAAGCTTGTCATTGAACAATCTTTGCAACCAAACATTAGTCTTCAAGGTACTTTGGACTTGCCTGATGGGCTTGGAGGTGTCCAATTGAAGAGTGAAGGTCAAAACAATGACAAGGACCAAGAGATTAAACCATCAGAGTACTTCACAACTGAGCAAGCGCTGGGAGCAGCAACAGAAGCGGAAGGGAGCAGTTCCTACTCCACGATCCAACAAAGCTTGGACGTGGAAGAGCTTGAGGTCCTGCCAGCTTACCTTATGCAGCTGAGATGTTTTTTCATTTTTGGTTTAGAATGTCGTGCTACTTGCTCATTTTACCTCAATTTTCCAGTGTTATATGCTTAATTTTAGCAATGTTGTCTATAGTTTGTGCATGTAAGTCTCTCATGGAGTCGTAACATTGATTGGAATTGGGTAAGAACTCGTTAAGAGCTTATCGTAATATGATACTGGTTTACATCCCAACAATTGCATCCACCGCATCATCTTCTAGTAAGTTTGCATGTATATACATATGCCCATGCATATTTTTGTTGTTACCAGTCTTCATCAATAGATGACACGATTATGGTTATAATATGGTTGCAATATGCAGTTAATGATTGTTATGACAATGTTATTGGTTGGTGGAATCGAGATGGAGTAACTGACTATTTCCTTCATTTTTTTTCCCTTTTCCCCGAACAAAGCCTCTTGAGCTGACTGCATCGACTACTATGGCATCTAGTTCAACGCACGTGCCAGCACAGAAGCCTCTTATTAGGTATTTGTGCGTACAAGTTGATGAATTGATAATATTTAATCTTCGAACTTTGTTGCCAATTATAGAAGATGCCCTGGATGGCTGGTTCGTGATTTTTTTGGGTTCTTTGCAGGTTCAGTTTCACTTCTTTGGCAAAAGCAACCAGCAACAGCGCATCTTAGGATACACTGAGGTGGCTGGAATAATGATAAACTTTCAGAACTTCCGGGCTTGACAAGAAATGAGGATTTGCCCGTTCTCAGGGATTTTTCTCTGGCTGTGGTATTGTAGACATTGTAATCGTTATGATTTTTATCCTTTTGCAGGCCAACTTGTGTCCACAGATGCTATTGGTATAATAACTATACAATTATTAATTTCACAATCTGTATACTCGCACTTTTTCAACGTTTTTTGTAATCCAAACGTAAGTTGGCAAGCTGTTTCTGCAGTTTTTACTTTTGGAGCCTTTTGTATTCTTAATAATCTTTCAGCGTTGCTTGTGAATATTAATTGCAGAATTCTCACGACTGTGTTTCGCGCTCTATTCATCGATAGCTGAGTTGTTTTTCAGTAGCATGTAAATGTGCAGGTTGTTCTAACGGACTTCAGTTTGCTTAGGAGTTTTCCATTATCGGTCTACGGCACTGATTACTTGTTTGTAAAAATGAATAAATATGACAGTTATTAACGGCGAAATATAGGGGTGGACGTTGGGTTAAGTGAGGGTATTTCAAGGTTTCAAAGAAATGTTATAGGCACAGGTTCCGTGACAGGAAAAAATATAAACATACACTTGGCATTTTCTCATTGACAGTTAAATAAAAATTAAAGAAAACATTGTCAATAAAAAACTGCCATTGGAAAATGCCCCCGTCATTGACCTGTTTGTTTAGCTTTTTTGTTTCAAGAATCGAAACCTTCCATTAACTGTCGTGAAATTTATAAATGGTATTATTCAGTTTCATGTAATTGTTGGAATCGAATACGAATTGGCGGTTTCGAATAATTCACGTTTATACGCTCAATTTACGCTCGCGTTTGGTCTTCATTATTTCACATTATAATGAGAGGAATAATAATTTTTTCGAAATGTGTGGTTCAAAAAGAAGAAAAAGTTTTTGAGTTCACATATAATATTATTTTATTGGACAATTTGTTATTGATAAGAAGAGAAAAAAAATGAATTATAATTTAACGAGGAATAATGATGGACCAAATGAGGGCTTAGTCGATCATGCGGAATGTACAAATAATGATGATATTTGACTAATTTATAAATATGAAAAAGTAACACTAAACCTATAAAATATGAACTAACAATTTTGATTGGTTGATTGTCTTCTAAGGAATCAATCTTGAACCGTCTCTAATAATTTATTGCATGCGAACATCACACTTAATCCTTGTCACGCAATAACATGAGCATAAATTGATGGGCTGTTTTTTTTTCGAAAAAACATTACTTTTATTTTATTTTGTCTTGAATTGGACTCTTAGAAGATGAGAATGAACTTAGAAATGTCAAGCTTTATTAACTCAAAATGTCAGATGTAATTAGAGTGCGTTTGATTGCATTTATTTTCTATGAAAAATGTTAATTTTCTACCCAAATTCTTACTTTTGAATGTCTGATTGCTATTTTTTTTCCGTTGAAAACATTTTCGAATATATGTCTAATTTTCCTTGTTTTAAGAATTTTTTTTTTTTTTTGGGAGTAGGTTTTTGTTTTCCTTAAAACAATAGAAAATATTTTCTATTCCGATCAAACACACTGTTATCGTGTATGGATTAAAATAATTGATTTCCTAATTAGGTGAAATTTTAGTGGACCACAAACACCCTTTCTCGATTCTTCCAGTGTAGGCTTGAAATTCAAAGTCACGTTTAAGTAAATGTTAATTACTTTTAAGTAAATGGGATTAGGTGTAGATTAATATTTATTCTAAATATGGTTTGCAGCCAACTTCCACGACAGCTTCCAATTAATAACGTTCCCCACCCACATTTAGGTTTTTACATTGCTTTCTTAGTACAATTGTAGTACTAACATATTGAAATTTAGACGCGTAAACTAATCACCATTGCAATTTTTCAATAAAATGAGGTCAGCCTCTCTCGAGCAGAGACGTGAACCAATAGGCCACGTCTTGATTTTAATGTCGACCTTGACCACATACCAGTAATCAAGTCGAACGCTTGTCAAGACCTACCAATTAGAGTATTTTGTCCTAACGTCGAATATTGAGAAAATTTGAATGTGATGGATTATGCAAACTTGTTTGGCCCATGTTTATAAACTATTTACAAATATTTAAACCAATTTTTATTCACATATTTCGAGAAATTCAT